ATGCCTCTAGATGCATGCGTAAATAACGCTGAAAGGCGATCAAAATGAATGACGCCATAAGAAAGCAATGACACGAGAATTGTGTTAAGACATAGCTTGTCTTGTATGAGACCCAACAACAGATTAAGTCTTATCAAGAAATATATTTTTGAATCAAGTTGATAAATGGGCAATAGATGCACATTGGAAGGAATTGCATTAGGTTCGGACGGCTTTAAGCTTCTCATGAACGGGACGGACTTAAGCTTCTCATGAAACATTTTGTATAAACGCGTCGAGTATGCAAATCAAACCAAATAAAAATAGCTCACATTTCATTGAGACATCAAGTTTCTTGAACCCCTTAACGTACGAGCAGTTTGTTCATTATATTAAAAAGTCAATATATACTTTAGGTACTTACTTTTTATTTTGTTGGCTGGAAAACCCAACTCAAGTTTAGAAAATTGCTGTTAGCTACTTCAAAAAAGTATATCTTGGCAAAATGGAGTCAGTGCACTAATCAATGTGAAGAACATGATAATTAAAATGTAAAATGCTAAGAATAATATTACTTAATGATTTTATATAATAGAATTCATCCCAAATGTCTCCAAATTTCATTCTCTTTTTCAACTTAAAATATATCTTTTTTTAATTTATAGTAAAAAAAAAGAAAAACTTAAGCTTTACCTATTATTGTATGAACAATCTTTTCTAAATTTTTGATTTCCTTACTTTGCAAATAAAAAATTTAATTACGATATTATTGCCAAGCTGAAATATATCAACTAACTAAGCTCATGTTCAATTTGAAACTGGTCACAAATAGTAAAACAAATATTTCGGTAAAAAATGGAGCGATTAGCATTTGATTCCAATTTATATATTATATTTTTCAAAAATATTAAGGAGTTATCGTGGTTTTGCCAAGATATAATTTTTTGATTGATAAACAGTAGATTTTAATATATCATCAACAGGAACAATGTTCTCATCACTTATTACAACTTTGAACTACAAATTCGAGCCATGCCTGAGAATTGCATTCTTTGAAGCAAGCGATAAAATACATTTAGATATTCCCCAAGTTCATTAAAGTATTTCAGATAGTTTGCAAGCGACAAAAAAAGTGTAAGTGCTTCAGGCTAATTAGTGCAATAACATAGTTGACATTGGTGCGTTGGGCGCGTTTCTTGGGGGGTGCGGTGATTTCGAGTTGAATGCAGGCGGCAAGCGATTCAACGAGCAGCTGCAGGTGCACTGGGAATGCGAAAGTGCAGTTGTGGGTGACATTGTGAAAATTATAATTACAAATATAATTATAATTAGTGCACTTAAAACTTAAATCAAATTAAAATGCATTTTTTGATTATGCGCAATAAAAGAGCGAAATGAAATAAATTACAAAATTGTATGTGATGTTGCAGGTGAAAAGCTTCATTAAAGTTCAGCTATTTGTTGGCTTTACTCATTTAAAAAAAACACAAATTGCAGTTAAAAAAAACCTTAAAAGTATATTTAAAAAGTTCTCAAACTGTGGTCGCTAGTTTCACATACACAAAATAAAATAAAAAAAAATTAAAAAACGAACGGAACGAAAACTTTGTTGTATGCAAATTAGAGTGCACATTAGAAACGCTAAGGGTGTTAAATTTCACGGCTAGTTATGTTGTCTGAAAAGCTACGATGCAAAGAACGAGACAGAAAATAAAGAAGAATGTTAACGAAAACGAGACACGAGAACTGTGCTGGGTGGCTTGGTGGTTACTGGTGGTGGGGTGGGTGATGGTGGTGTGCTAATATAGCCTATTGTTCTTGCTGTTGCTGTTGTGGGCCTTGTGATTGTATGTGTGCGTGTTTTTGTTGCAGTCTCTTTGGAGTGTATTAATAACATTAACAAACTTAAATGGAACGTGAAATTATTAATTGCCGGCTTAATTAATTTATAATGAGTTTGGCCTGGCAGCTGTGCCGAGTCATAAACCATAACCAAAACCAGAAAATTGTTGGTGTTTGGCTGATCGCCGCATTAAGTATACGCAATATTGTGCGATGAATGATCGTGACAAATCATAAAATGCAGTACGTGCTGATGTGAGTGCTTGAGTGTGTGTTAATTAAAAATGGTGCACACTAAGTACTTGGGGTGTCTCTATGTGAGTATGTTTTTGTGTGTGTTGAATTCTAGGGCCCTTGTGTGACTTTGCTGCGGTGTCTTTTCAAGTTTTTTTTTTTTTGTGAGCTGTTTTTAGGCTGTGGCTGTGTTTGGTATATATAGTTTGTGTATATATAAAATTTGGTTTTGTTTTTGTATATTGAGGATCTCTTTTTGCGCTTCGCTGGTTATCACAGAACATTCAGTTAAAAATTACAATATGCATTGGATGATGCGTACACTATATATATGTATGACTAGGTCGTATATTAATTGTCATATATTTTAATAGGCAATATGTATATATATTGTATACAAGTACAAGTATAAGTATTAAAAATGATTTTTTTTTCAAAGTAAATAAAATCCAAAAAACGTTCGTATATACGCCAGGGTTGCACCACATAACAAATCATGATCATATCATTATCAGGTCATCAAATTATTAGCTTGGTACAAGTACAATTAGTAGTAGTATTATATTATATGTATATTATGTAATTATGCTTATTAACTGTTAATGGTTTTAATTGTAAATTGTATGCGCAAATCACGATCATCAGCAGAACGAACGAACGAACGAGCGAAGGAACGAACGAAGAAACGAACGTAGCAATTTCCGGCGTTCTTTACGGTATAGGCGATTATGTATTTATATATGGATATAGATATAAATATATATATAAATATATATATATATATATATATATATATATATATAGGTGTGTATGTAGATGTAGATATAAATGACAATTCAATGTACATATCAAAGTAAAAAGTCAATCAATTCAGTTCATTCTCTTATTATTACATCATCAAAGGTCATCAAAAGTAAGAAAAATAATCATATACATAAATATATTCATTATTATTTAGATATATGGTATGTATATATATATATATATATATAGTTTATATATATGTTTGGTGTGTAATTATATAATTTGTTAGTTAAGGTCAATTCATCAATCCATATCAATTAAACAATTTACATGTATGCGTTTATGTAGATATATATTTTAAGAGAGAGACAGAGTGACAGAGAGACAAGAGATAAGAGAGGAAGAATACGGGGTGGGGCGCTCACCAAGTCCACATAAATTAAATTTTAATTGAAAACATTTCAACAAAATATTCAAATATGCCTTCTTTATCTTCATCTAGTCAATGGAAATAAAAATATGTTTTTTATTATTTTTTTTTTATTATTATTATTATTTTTACACTGTCAGAAAGACGTGAGACACAAATGAGTTTTACATCTCTCGTTTGGGCTAATTAGCTTGATAATTGCCTGCTGGAATTTTATATAATTATATCCCTACAGCCACATGTGGGAAATAAAATCTTACTTGGTGGGTGGGTATGCTGGGTGTTTGGTGGGTTGCGTGGTTTCATAATCACTATAATCATAAGGGGCAACGCAGAAATTATACAAAAGTAATTATAGTTTCGAGTTGAATAAAGTAAATTCTATATGCAAGATAAGACATTTGCCAAGGTGTCGTTGTAAAAGTGTTTGTGTGTGTGTGTGTGAGTGTGTGGGTGTATATAAATGTGTGTGGAAAGATGCTGCGGTAATATGGGCGTGCGTATGGACTGAGGTTTTTGAGTTTTGGGGCATTCGCTGAACAGATGACAATTGCTGGTTCGGCGAATGCATTTGTTGATTGCCAACAACAATCTCAATTGAAAGTACTTGCAGCTTTTTGTTTGTATAAAGTAGAAAGTATTTTTCATTGTTTGTTTTAAATTATAAAAAAAAAATTTGTATTTATATTTTTCAATCAACTGACAGTGAGCGCACAGAGTTTTAAAAATTCATAACAAACGGAGCGAGCGCAGCTCTGGGCTTATGAATAAATCAGAACTGAAAAAAAAAACATTTATTGTTCCATCCATACACAAGAGAGAGAGAGAGAGAGATAGAGAGAGAATATGTGAAAAAGAGATAGAAAATTATCCAAACGTTTGCACAAGGCACACATACATACAGCGGCAAAAGGTGAAATGCGAATACAACGAACAAAATCAATAAATATTAATAATAATAATAATAATGCCCAATGCAATATTAATGGGAACTCAACTCAAAATTATCAAGGCACACAAATGAGAAACATTATCACACACACTCTTACGCAATTAAATTGTATACTTTTTATTATTTATATTAATATATTCTTTTTTCTGTTATAAAATTGTTCATCATTTAATGCGGTACTCAGTTTTCTCTTCTACTGTTTTTTTTTTCAATTCTCTTGGGTTTTGCGTTATAAATTAGTTGATCTACATTATCCTTAGTTATCATATAAATGTTTTGTATAACTTATTTATTTAATTTTTATTGATTTTTTCTGAATTTGATGTTTTGTTTTTGTGGTTTGTTGAGCTGCTTTGCAAACCATTCATGAAGACTTTTCTACATAAAATACAAACTGTTACAATTGGAACACATAAGCTGAATGGAATTGATTAATAAACTATAAATATATATGTTTTTTATCACGCTACATGGTAATCGACATGACTTTATTTAGTATGCAGCTATGATCTGGATTAAAAATAAAGTGTATGATGCATAACCTTAGCTATTATCAAAGCTGAAGAACTGATCTCAATTGCATATTCGCTAAGTAACTGAAAAACTGCTATATTTAAGTCCAGGACTCGATCTAGGAATACAAAGATTAGTAATTAGTGCTCTTTTTATAATGTTTGTTGGTTTGTTGGTTTGACCGCAATTCTAAATTGAAAAAACAAAAAATGTTAAATGTAGAAAATAAGTTTTTATTAAAAATCAACTTCGGTTGCTTGTCAGTTGCAAATAAATATACGTATGAATAATTTTATTTAATATACACTTAGTAATAAAAATTAAATACACGGTGCACACATTTACATTGCATTTCACTTGAGATTCAAACATCATATTCATCATCATCATCAATATTATAATTATTATGCGCTGGGGCATTTGGCGCATTGTCCTTCGTAATTTCAATTTTAATTGGCTTCTGCAAAGATGCTGTTTCATATATCTTTACTTTCAACTAAAAGGCATAAGTGTAGCTCAATCATTAAAATTAAAACATCGATCAAGTTTAAATTGATGTAGCATATAAAAGGGGTGATCTAAAATGGATGTAGGTATACTTATATACATATATAAAATTAGCACATGTAAATCAAAACAAATAACCAAGCATTGCGCCATATAAGAAATTAAATTGGTAATCAAAATGGTTGCGATTCATATCAGGGGTATATTAAATAATATATATATATATGCATTTCAGTTCGATACGGCTTTTCCGACCAAAAAGTGCCACATTTAATATGGACAACAAGAATAATAATGTAATGAACGTGCCGTGAAGAACTTTTGTAATTTCATAGTGCATCAGGCTCGACTCTCTGTTTCTTGCTATTTGTATAGCGCTAATATTTATTAACATTGTTAATTTGTTTCAAAAAGTAAATAATAATGTATGCAAAAAGGAACTCATTTTAATGACTGGCAGTGAAATGAAATTATAATAATTGCGCTTTATATATTCGTATATATATAGCCTTTTATTGTTGTTGTTGCTCTTTGTTTTAATTATTGTTTACACTGCGATGCATTTGATTTGTTTGTGTTTCGAGGTGGACTTTGAAGTGGTTTGACTTCGGGTGGGCCATATTTGCTAGGGAGAGTTTTTACTTTGGGTTGTAAATGCTATTGCTCTCAGGTTTAATTGGCTGTAATTAAGAGTTATAATTGACGCCACTGGCATATTTAATGCTTTAATGCACTGTTATCGAGTTGACAGCCCGTGAAATGAGTATTATATTTAAATGCACTTATTATTATTACTCATGAAATACTATGTCAAATTTGTTATAAAAAAAAAAGAAATAACTTGTTACCGAGCAAACTTTGCAGCAGACAAGAGTCAACGAAAGGGCTTCAAAGTGCGCTTTGCAGTTTACAAGTGTGTGTGTGTGTGTGTGTGTGCGTGTGTGCGTGTGTGAATGTGAGTGTGTGCCAAGTGGAGTTGCGAGTTGCATGCGCTGTGTGTGAGTGTGTATGTTTGTGTTTGTGTTTGTGTGTGAGTGCGCACATGTGCTGGCCATAATATGCATTAAAATACCTGTAGCCTGAATTTTTGGCCAAATTATGTATTTCGCTGTTGCGCCTGTCAAGATTATCGCTTGGCACTTACATAATTTAAAGTTGAGTTGCAAAAACTTTTGCATTATTTTTAGCTGCTTGCCGAAACTCTGCACAATTAATTGGATTATATTATTAGCAGACACAACTTATGCAGCCGCGACTCACGTAGAGAGTGGAGGGCCTGGTAAATTATGCGGCAAACAGCTGCAGCCGAAAGTTGTCATACATTTTGAAAAATGCAGAAACATGCAAGAAGCCAGGCAAAGAGTGAGGGGTTAGCCCTTGGGCCACGCGCGCGGAGGTTGCTTTGTTTGCAGCATATTGTGTTATGATGCAATGAAATGCTTTTGTTGATTTCGGCCTTTAACAAATTGCATGAAATGTTAACTGATGGTCGCGAAAAGAATGAATCGAATAGCAGCATAGCAGCGACAATAAAGTTGTGCAAGTTGTCCGAAAAGCCTTTTCGACTAATAGTCTAGCAGCACTTCTGTGCGAAATGGAGGGGAGGCGTGGCTGAGTTGTTGAGAACTGAAACTTTTGATTTATGTACTGGGGGCAAGAATTGTGGTACATGTCTGCGATGCCTGGCATTTTATTTATGAGTCCTATTAGCTAAGTTTTTATTCCGTGAATATGTTGCACCAACAAACAGAAAAGGAGCAAAAACAAACGTGATCTATCCTGGAAGTATTAATTACAATTCATTTACCAGCCGCTAATTGATAACTGTTTGCAGAAAATTGTATTCATGAAATTGAAATTATGACATAATTTTAAAGTACACACAAACGCAAACGCACATTCACTTTCAGACAGAGGAACACACACAGGCAGACAGACAGCACACCATGCCGCATGAGCAGATACAAATATGCAACAACAGAAGATACAAAAAAAAACATATATGAAAAAAAGAAAAACTATTGTGTAAGCATAGTAAACAAGTAATAAAGCAAGGCACAGGAAGACTTTGCCTTTTTTTATTATGATGTATTTTGTTAGGGGGGCTACTAAAACACAAAACAAAATTCTTGGGTACATACTATGAATACATACATAAACAAATGCATGTGTGTGTGTGTGTATTTGATAAAGTGCAACAAAATCGGACGCATGAGGGCAATAAAAAGTTTGGCAGCAACACAAGAAAATCTCTTTAGAAAAATGAAAAATATGAAAATTGATATTTAAAGAATTGTTTATAATTCCACATTTGCATCATTGGACCTCACAGTTATATGCTGCTTATTTTTGTTTCGTCGTGTCTTAAACCTGGCTCATATAAAAACATGCCTCAACTCTCAAAGAGAGTAAAAACAAACGCAAGTTAAACAAAAAGCTAACACAAATAAGTAGATGATTGTCAATCAAACGAGAGAAACATGTTGCATATTGCATGTTGTACAAAATGCTAAAGACACTCGCAAAAAGTCGCGTGCAAAAGTCAGGCACAAAATATTTCGAGCTGGAACTGATTGGGGAACTGGGTTAGGTAATGTTTATAGAGAGTGGGTTGGGGTCGGTGGGGAGATGCACAGTGGTTGCCGTAATTTCTGATTCGGTTGCTTTTATTGGACACAGTACAAACGCTAAAATTTAACTAAAAAAGTGAAGAAAAAAAAAAGCCAGAAAACAGAAAGACAAACAAAACACAAACAATCAAATTTGTAGATCGCAGAACTGTATCGTTATGGATTTCGATATTGAGAGTTACCAAAGAGAATGCACAAAACGCATGGAGCATATACATTTTTACGGATAATTATTAATATATGGTAGTATGCAGAGATATTACTGGTTACTTGCTTTGATTTTGATGTTTTACATATTGGTAATATTTTTTTTTTGTAATTTTGATTTTTTTTTTTTTTAGGGGGTACACATTCCGTTGGCAATTCGGTGTAATTGTGATGAAACTATTACATATGTATATATATGTAAGTGTGTGGGTGTGTAAGTGTGTGTTTGGTGTTTTTACTTTCACAACCCATTGTGAATCTCATTGAATAAATTTCAGTATATAAGTAATAAAGAACTAATGGTAAATAAACATAAACTAAATTAACATTAGCACATTTTAAAAATAATACGAGACGAATGCAGCAAGATGTCCTAAGTAAAAATACTAAGTATCATACTGATTACTTAATCATACAAGTAAATGTTAAATGGTGCAGCTGAGGCTGCGCTTTTTGGTTGCCTGTTGCTGTTGCTGTTTTTTTTTTTTTTTTTTTTTTTTTATATTGTTTTTTGTTTGTTTTGTTGCATACTTAAAACAAATTGTAAACACGAACATAGGCTTAGGCATAGAAAATGGGGGAAAAAGTATATGGTATATATATATATATATATATGTATATATATGTTGAATATAAATGTGTTGTTGTTGCGCGTAAATCGCGGCAGTTTTGGTTTTGAGACTCGTGTTGTGTAAATTAGCAGTTAGTACTTTTCTCTGTGTATGTGGGTATATAGTAGCAGTATCTGTGTGTGTGTGTGTGTATCTCGGTTCGACTTTTCTCTCTATAAATTCTCAAGCACTACAGCAGTCTTCTTCTTCTTATCAAACTCTGTTTAAGGTAACCCACTCAAGCAAAATAATTTAATTACAAATACAAGTTACTGTAGTTTAATCGAACGTGTAATTAACTCACATGCAATTAGCATAACAGATTTTAATAAATTTCCCCAGTCAGTATTCATGTTGTTGTTGTTGTCTCTGCTTCTCTCTCTCTCCCACTCTCTGATAAGCAATAAAATGGTTTATGTCACAATAGACTGTTGCAACACCGATAGTAATCGAGTCAAGCTGCAAAACCAGCGCTGCATCAAAGAAATTTTAATTTGACTTTCATTAATTTATATGTCGACTGGCCCATGCTTTCAACGTTGATGATTTTGAGATGCGAGAAACGGATGACGTGAAGGGGGGAGTGCGGGGTGGTGCGGCATGCAGCAAAAACAACTGCCGATAAGTTGATGGTCAGCTATAAAGTATGCCATGAATTATTATTGTTGCTGTTGTGCAAAAAGCAAATAGCAATGGAAACGGCTGTTGAGGTCCCCAGCCAGGATCAACACGATGCAGACTGCGCCTGTGCCATATGCATAATGCAGCAATTGCTGTTGTCAACCGGCCTGGCTGCCAGCTTGCCACTGTGGAACGGGCAGTTGCCTCCTTTCCTTTTTTAGAGCAGCTGCCAGCCAGTAAATTAAGCGGAAAAGTGTGCTGGCCGGCCAACAATAACAGCAACAGAAAGAAGAAGAATGAAAAAGAAAAAAAAAAACAGAAAAACCAGCTGAAAAATATTGCACACAAATGCAAACTGCTGCTTTGAGTTGGGTAGAGCGAGCGGTGCAAACCGGGACGAGGTGTTTGCACTTGGCTCGTCTGGCAGAGCTATTTGCTGCAGTTGGAAATAACTCAGCCGCAAATGAGATAAATTGCGCGCATACAGATAATTGCATGGGCGAGCTTGCAGCAGGGGGGTGGGGAAATTCGAGCACATGCAACATGCAATAATTTTTTTTAATATGTAACAGCGTAACTTGAAAAAGTAAGAAGCCAGTTTTAATATACACATATATATATCTTGTTTGCTGTCGCTTCACAAATATTTATGCAATATTCATTTCTTTTTATTTCATTTTATTTTGGGTAATGAATGCAAATATTGCGTATACGCACTGTCTGCTGAATGTGATGGAAATAAGTGTCGCTTTTGCCGCCTGTCATTCGTTGCATTACCATTAGTTGTAGTTGTATTTACAGTTGTTGCTCTTTAAAGCTCAACATGTTGTTGAAGTCACACATCGTAGGTATTTGTAAATTATATTGTTACATATTTCTGTCGCAATAATCCCTTTCGCTAATATGCTTTTGCAGCATTA